ATAATTCAATTTTACCAAACACGAAAAGAAATAGGAGGGCAATAGCCACACACAATGGCACCACAAACGATAAATCCAAAACAAACAAGAACCAACAATCAATGCACATTAATATCCCTAAATGTCAATGGTCTTAACCTGCACATAAAAAAGATATAGGTTAACAGAATGGATACAAAGAAAGAATCCATCCTTCTGCTGTATACAAGAAACACACCTCAACTTCAAAGACAGATGTTACCTCAGAGTAAAGGGTTGGGAAAAGATTTTCCAATCGAATGGGCTCAAGAAACAAGCTGGTGTAGCAATCCTAATATCTAAAAAATTAGACTTCAAACTAAAATCAATCAAAAGAGATGAAGAAGGGCATTTCATACTCATCACAGGAAAAGTCCATCAAGATGAAGTCTCAATGCTGAACATCTGTGCCCCAAATAAGAAGGCAGTCACACTTGTAAAAGAAACATTGCTAAAGCTCAACCACACATAAAACCACACACACACTTATTGTAGGAGACTTCAACACCCACTTTCACCACTAGACAGGACCACCAGACAGAAACTTAACAAAGAAACAAAGGATCTAACAGAAGTTATGGCCCAACAGATATCTATAGAACATTCCATCCAAAAACCAAAGAATATACCTTCTTTTCAGGGCCACATGGAAGCTTCTCTAAAATTGAATACATAGTTGGCAACAAAGCAAACCTCCACAGTTACAAAAGAATTGAAATAAACCCCTGTATCTTATCAGATCACCATGCTTTAAAGTTAGAATTCAACAGCAATACAAATTGAAGAAAACCTACATATTTGTGGAAATTGAATAACACCAATTACACCATTCCTGGGTTGGGGAAGAAATAAAAAAAGAAATTAAAGATTTCCTAGAATTTAATGAGGATGTAGACAAAACATACCCAAACTTATGGGACAATCTGAAAGCAGAGGTAAGAGGAAAGTTCATAGCACTAAGTGCCCACATGAAGAAATTGGAGAAAAGTCACACAAGAGAACTGACTGAACTGAAAGCTTTAGAGCAAAAAGAAGCAAACTCACCATGGAGGAGTAGACCCCAGGAAATATCAAACTGAGGGCTGAAATCAATAAAGTAGAAACAAGGAAAACATTACAAAGAATCAATGAAACAAAGAGTTGGTTCTTTGAGAAGATCAACAAGATAGACTAACCTCTATCCAAACTAACAAAAATGCAGAGAGCATGCTAATTAACAAAATCAGAAATGAAAAGGGGAATATAACAACAGACACTGAGGAATTCCAGAGAATCTTCAGGTCATACTTTGAAAACCTGTACTCCACAAAATTTGAAAATCAAAAGGAAATGGACAGTTTTCTGGATAGATATCACTTTCCAAAAATAAACCAAGAACAGATAAGCAGTTTAAATCGACCTATAACCCCTAATGAAATAGAAGCAAAAACAGCCCAAAACAAAAACAGCCCTACCAAAAACAGCCCAGCACCAGATGGCTTCACTGCAGAATTCTACCAGAAATTCAAACAAGAGCTAATGCCAGTATTCCTCAAATTGTTCCACAAAATAGAAGCAGAAGGGACATGCCCAACCTCTTTTTATGAGGCAACAATCACTTTGATAACCAAGCCACACAAAGATACAACTAAAAAAGAGAACTACAGACCAATATGGCTCATGAATATGGATGCAAAATACTCAACAAAATATTGGCAAATAGAATCCAAGAACACATAAGAAAAATCATCCACTATGATCAAGTAGGCTTCATCCCAGGCATGCAAGGATGGTTCAACATAGAAAATCCATCAATGTAATCCACCATATAAACAAACTGAAAATGAAAAACCACATGATCATTTCGCTACATACTGAAAAAGCCTTTGACAAAATCCAACATCCCTTCATGATAGAGAACTTGTAGAGAATAGGAATAATAGGAACATATCTACACATCATAAAAGCAATATACACTTAACCAACAGCCAACATCAAACTAAATGGAGAGAAACTCAAAGCGATACTTCTAAAATCAGGAACAAGACAAGGCTGTCCACTCTCTCCATATCTCTTCAATATTGTACTTGAAGTTCTTGAAGCTAGAGCAATAAGACAAGAAAGGGGGATCAAAGGATACAAATTGGAAAGGAAAATTTCAACCTTTCAGTATTTGCAGATGATATGATAGTCTACATTAGTGACCTGAAAACTCTACCAGGGAACTCCTACAGCTGATAAACACCTTCAGCAAAGTAGCAGGATACAAAATTAACTCAAAAAAACAGTAGTCCTACTATATACAGATGATAAATACAAAGAGAAATAAATCAGAGAAACATCACCCTTTACAATATCCACAAGCAACATAAAATATCTTGGGGTAACACTAAACAAAAAAGTAAAAGAACTGTACAGTAAGAACTTTGAGTCTTTAAAGAAAGAAATTAAAGTAGATAGCAGAAAATGGAAAGATCCCCCATGCTCTTGGAAGGTAGAATTAACCTAGTAAAAATGACAATCTTGCCAAAAGCAATCTACAGATTCAATGCAATCCTCATCAAAATCTCAACACAGTTCTTCACAGACACTGAAAGTACAATACTCAACTTTATATGGAAAAACAAAAAACCCAGGATAGCCAAAACAACAATTTACAATAAAGGATCTTCTGGAGGTATCAGCATCTGTGATTTCAAGCTCTATTATAGAGCCATAATTCTGAAAACAGCTTCGAAGTGGCACAAAAATAGACAGACCAATGGAATTGAATTGAAAACCATGATATTAACCCACACACCTATGAACACGTTATTTTTGACAAAGATGCTAAATCTATACAAGGGAAGAAAGATAGCATCTTCAACAAATGGTGCTGGCACAACTGGATTCAGACATGCAGAAGTTTGCAGATAGATCCATATCTGTCACCATGCACAAAACTTAAGTGCAAATGGATCAAAGATCTCAACATAAATCCAGCCACACTGAATCTTCTAGAAGAGAAAGTGGGAGATACCCTTGAACAAATTGGCACAGGAGACCGCTTCCTGAACATTACACCAGTAGTACAGACATTGAGGGATTCAATTAATAAATGGTACCTCCTGAAACTGAGAAGCTTCTGTAAGTCAAACGACATAGTCAACAAGCCAAAGTGGCAGCCTACAGAATGGGACAAGATCTCCACCAACCCCACATCTTACAGAAGGCTGATTTCCAAAATATAGAGTGAACACAAGAAGCTAGCCACCAAAACCCCAAACAATGAAATTAAAAAGTGGGGTGCAGAACTTAATAGGGAATTCTCAACAGAGGAAGCTGAAATGGCTGAAAGACACTTTAGAAAGAGCTCAAAATCCTTGGCCATCAGAGAAATGCACTCAAAAGTACTCTGAGATACCACCTCACACCTGTCAGAATGGCTAAAATCAAAAACACCAATGACAATCTATTGCTGGAGAGGATGTGGAGGAAAAGGAACACTCCTACATTGCTGGTGGGAGTGCAAACTTATAAGAACACTTTGGAAATTAGTATGGCAGTTGCTCAGGAAAATGGGAATCAGTCTACCTCAAGATCCAGCAATTCCTTTCTTGGGCATATACCCAAACAATGCACATCCCTACAACAAGGATATATGTCCAACCATGTTCATAGCAGCATTCTTTGTAATATCCAGAACCTGGAAGCAACCTAGATGCTCCTCAACTGAAGAATGGATAGAGAAAATGTGGTACATTTATACAATGTATACTACTCAGCAGAAAATGGAATCTTGAAATTTGCAGGCAAAGGTATGGTACTAGAAGAAACATCTTGAGTGAGGTAACCCAGTCACAAAAAGACAAACCTGGTATGTACTCACTCATATATGAATTTTAGACATATAGCAAAGGATTACCAGCCTACAATCATCTTCAGCAAAGTAACTAGGAAACAAGAAAGACTCTAAGGGAAAAATGCATGAACCCCAAGAATGGGAAGTGGCAGGAACTCCTGTGCTAATTGGGAGCCTGAGGGTAGGGGAGAGGGAGCTGCCAGAATGGGAGGAGGAGTAAAAGAGGGAAGAGGAGAAAATTGAGGAGGAGAAATATTGAGTTGGGGGAAGAATAGAGGAGAGCAGGATAGAGATACCATATCAGAGGGAGCCATTATAGGTCCGAGGAGAGGTCTGGCACTAGGGAGATTTCCAAATATCTACAAGGATGACAGGAACTGACAATCTAGGAGAGGATAACCTAAATGCCCTTCCCCTATAATGAGACTGATGACTACTTTTTATGCCATCCTAGAGCCCTCATCCAGTGGCTGATGGAAACAGAGGCAGACACCCTCAGATATACACTGAACTGAACTCTAGAACCTAGTCGCAGAGAGGGAGAAATGAAGATCAAAGGGGTCGGTACCAGGTTGGTGAAACCCACAGAAACAGCTGGCCTGAACATGGGAACCACATGGACCCCAGACTGCTTCTAGAATCCAGCACAGAACTGATCCAGACCCCTGAACATAGATGTCAATTAGATGGCCTCCACATTCTAGGGGGTCCCTGGTAGTGGTTTACTATTTTTCCCTGGTGTTAAGAAGGGACTTTAAGATCCCATCCCATGTGAAGGCATGCACTTTTGGCCTGTACACATGGTGGAGGGCCTAGGCCTAGCCCAGGATCATCTGGTGGACTTTGGGGGGCCACCATCAAGTGCCATATGCTTCCTGGGTAGTGGAGGGTGGATAGGGTGGGGGTCTACTGGGAGTTGGTGGGAAGGGTTGGTGGGAGGGGAGGGAGAGGGAGAGGGAGAAGGGATTGACATGTGAAACAAGCTTGTTCCTAATTTGAACTAATAAAACAAATTGCTCTGAGGTACAAATCATCTACATATTCAACATGTGTCCTCTACATTTTACAACGATTTAAATAGATCAAACGATTGATTATACGTTATTGGCTCCTAAGACGGTCTCAGGCTCAAGGATGCACTGTTCCAAGATTTTCTGTAGGTTGGGGTTCTCCATTGCAGCTGTCACTCGCTCTTTGTCATTTATCTGCTTGTTTATATCTTCTTCTTTTGAGTGAGTTCCTTCAGAAATGTAGATTTCCAACTTGTGTTTAATCGGCAGACACTGCTGAAGTTTTACTCTTAAGCACAATCCAATAAGAGTTGCCAAAGAGCAATGAGGTACTGTTGGTGTGAACTTGATAATAACCAAATAGTCTTCTTCATTTATTTCCTGAACCTCCACACAACTCTCCATTACCACTTCTAGTTCTTCTAAAGTATTGGGCTTTTCTGGGTCCTGGATAGTTAGAATCAAATCATAAACCTCTAGAACTTTCTCTTTCGTGATGTGGGGCTGCTGGGCAGCTCCCTGCTCAGAAAAGCCTGAGAGCCATAACACCCAGCTCAGCGTCCATGAGAGCAGCCCAGACACTCGCTCCATCCTCATGTTCCGCTATCCCTGGCTACTGTCCCAACTGAGCCATGGTCTTTCCAGCCTTTCGGCAGCAGGCCTCAGGAGCTATGAACTTCTTAGTCTTCAAATAAACCAAGACAAGTGTAAAGGTTTAGAGGACCAGACAATAGGCAGGACTCATCAAATGCCAATTCTAACTGTGTATAAATTAAGTTGTATAGATTTTGGGTCTGGTAAATTTGGTGTGTGATGTTTTAATTTATTTTCAAGTTTTTTATAGTAAAGTTTATTTTGAAAATTAATAAAAATTAAACACCAAAAGTGTATAAGGAATACACTTTTTGACCACAAAATCTGTACTGTTCTGATGTCACTTAGTATACCATAGAAGTGGAGTATTTTCCCAGTTCAATCATGGTCAGAAAGAGACTTTTAAAGCTACTAGCTCCAGTCAAAATAGTGTCCATATTTTTATGTCATGATTATTCTTACAGCAAAAGCAACCAGACTGTTGAGATTTAATTCTAAGTTTAGGTCCATCAATTTATTACCCATGGGCCATTCCAGAACATTTCATAATTTTTTTGTACCTAGCGAAGACAGAAATCATAAAGCAGAAAAACATAACAATAAAAAACCAACATAGAAGTCAATATACAAAACCTTTAAATAAATTTGTCTTCAAAGATTCAAGATAACAAACACAGTGCTAGGCATACATTTTTATATTAACTCTCACCACTAACAATGAAGTCATTCTCTAACTAAATGAACTGTAATTCATTGACTAATCTTAGCACCAGATTCACTAGAAAAAAAGACTACACAGAACTACAGTGATGTAATATTGAGGAAAGGACACCAGGCAATGCTACATGGGTTTTCAGCTGCCCTTCTGTAACACTTACCATTCTCTTTCTCTCCTTTATAATGCTGGTCTTGGTCTGTTTAGGAACCACCTTCTCCTACACTCTGCATTTTGTGTAGACTATCCACAGGGCAAATTTAAGCACACGAAGATGTCTAGGAAAACAAACTTGTTTTCTAATAGTGTATATTGACTGAGAATGGTTAATGAGTACCAGGCGTATCTCTTAGGTCCAAACTCTGAGTAGATAAGTAAAACAAATTTTTATGGATAACAGAATTACTGAATCATATAAGAAGTTAAGCCAGCAATACGGGAGTCAGCAGTTCTCCATCAATTTTTCCCTCATGTCTTAAGATGGAAAAGTAAAATTAATATAACAAGATGTGTCTCATACCTGTTCTGAAGATAGAAAAAGGAAGAGATAGAGGTCAGAACATTCTTGCATGAGGAAACCAAAATCCTTCATAGAGATTTTCAGGTCAAATTCTCTGGTGCCATTTATGAAACATGATACTCACCTGGAGAAAAATAATTTCATCTCGAGAGTAATGTGTAAATTCCTGTATTTGATGAGGAATTTCAGAATCATGAAAAGACTATACCAATTCACTATATCTTCTAAAACTAAATTTCAATATGATCAATTCTCTTGTAGAACCACAAGGTTTTTCAGGCATTTATGTATGAAACAGTTTTACCAAACAGGAGCTGACTCTATCCTTTCCAAAGTCAAATATTGGAACCCGTAGAGTGATGTCATTTTCCATTTTCTTTTGACTTTTACTACTCTGCTTGATTGAAGTCATGCTGAATGACATTCCATTCATGAAATACCCTATTCTTTGGCAGCTATCTCATGTGTAATCTCATAAAAGTCCCAATAACAAGCTAAAGACTGACATTCTAATTGTTGTTCCAATGGCGAAAACATTTAGGAGGTGAGGGTGTGAGTTTTTCTTGTTTCATTTTAGTAATAGCAATCAACCTCTAATTAAAATTAGTCACCCAATTGCTTTCTAAATGATTCTGGTGACTTCATTAATCTGCAATGATGAGCTACCTATGTTGTATTTAATGTTGATTTTCTTGAAGAATCAACTCTGTTACATTGATTCTTTGTATTGTTTTCTTTGTTTCTCCTTTATTCATTTCAGCCCTTAGTTTGATTATTTCCATGTATCAACTTCTCTGGGGTGAGTTTGCTTCTTTTTGTTTTAGCACTTTCAGTTGTGCTGTTAGTTCTCTAATGTGACTATTATCCAGTTTTTTCATGTGGGCTCTTAGTGCTAAGAACTTTCCTCATAGCACTGCTTTCAAAGTGTCCCATAGGGTTGGGTATGTTGTGTCTTCATTCTCATTGAATTCTAGGAAGTCTTTAGTTTCTTCTTTATTTCTTCCTTGACACAGGAATGGTACAATTATGCATTATTCAATTTCCATGAGTTTGTAGGTTTTCTGCAATTTGTGTTGTTGTTGAATTCTAACTTTAAACCATCTCGATCTAATAAGATTCATGGGATATTCCAACTTTTTTGTATCTGTTGATTTTCGCTACATTGCCTAGTATGTGGTCAATTTTAGAGAAGATTCCATGTGGTACTGACAAGAAGGTATATCCTTCTATGTTTGAATGGAGTGTTCTATTGATATCTGTTAAACCCAATTGGGTCAAAACTTCTTTTAGTTCCTTTGTTTCTTTGTTATGTTTCTATCTGGAGGTCCTGCCTAGTGCTGAGAGTGGGGTGTTGAAGTCTCCCATAAGTATGTGAGGTTTTATGTGTGATTTGAATTTTAGTAATGTTTGTTTTACAAACATAGATGCCTTTGTATTGGGGGCATAGATGTTGAAAATTGAGATTTTATCTTGATGGACTTTTCCTGTATATGTATGAAATGACTGTCTTCATCTCTTTTGATTGATTTTAGTTTGAAGTCTAATTTGTTAGCTAGTAGGATTGATACACCAGCTTGCGTTTTTTGTTAATTTGATTGGAAAGTCTTTTCCTAATCCTTAACTCTCAGGTAATATCTTTCTTTGAAGTTGAGGTGTGTTTCTTGTATGCAGCAGAAGAATGGATTCTGTCTTCATGGCCAATCTGGTAGCCTGTGTCTTTTTATTGGTGAGGGAAGACCATTGATATTGAGGGATATTAATGACCATTGATTATTAAATTTTGTTTGTTTTGGGTTTGCTGGTGGTTGTATTGTGTGTGGATTCCCCTTTTTTCTTTTGGCTTTTGGTGTAGTGGGATTATTTATTGTTTTCATCAGTGTAGTTATCTTTGTTCGGTTGGAGTTTTTTCCCAGATCTTTCTGTAGGGCTGAATTTGTGGATATATATTGTTTAAATCTGGTTTTGTCATGGAATATCTTGCTTTCTCCATCTATAGTGATTGAAAGCTTTGCTGGGTATGGTAGTCTGGGTTGGCATCCATGGTCTCTTACTATTTTGTAGAACATCCATCCAGTACCTCCTGGCTTTCAGCATTTCCACTGAGAAGATGGTGTAATTCTGATAGATCTGCCTTTGTATGTTTCTTGGCCTTTTTCTTTTGTTGATCTTAACATGTTATCTTTTTTCTTGTATGTTTGTTGTTTTGATTATTATGCGATGAGGGAATTGTTTTTTGTGGTCCAGTCTATTTGGTGTTCTGTAAGCTTCTATTTTCATAAGCATGTCCTTCTTCAGGTTGAGAAAGTTTTCTTCTATGATATTGTTGAATATGTTTTCTGTACCATTGAGCTGTATTCATCATCTTCTTCTAAATCTATTACTCTTAGGTTTGGCCTTTTCATGGTATCCCATATTTCCTAGATATTTTGTGTTAGGGATTTGTTGCATTTAAGATTTTTCTTTGATCAATGACTCTATTTCCTCTACGGAGTCTTCAACATCTAGATTCTCTCTTCATTCTCTTGTATTCTATTGGTTATACTTACATCTGTAGTTCCTGATGGTTTACCCAGCTGTTCTATTTCCAGAATTCTCTATTCTTTGTTTTTTTTATTTTTTCTACTTCAGCTTTCAAGTCTTGTACTGTTTGAATTGCTTCTTTCACTTGTTTCACTATTTTTTCTTGGCTTTCCTTGCTTTCTTTAAGAGATTTGATTATTTCTTGAATTTTTTTGGTTCGTATTTTCCTCTACTTCCTGTATTTTTTTCCATTTCTTTAAAGGTTTTTCTCATTTCCTCATTGGTGGTTTCTATTATCTTCAAAAAGTTGTTTTTATGGTCCTTCTCTTCTGTTTCATCTGTGTTGGGATGTTCAGGTCTTGCTGATATAGAATCCATAGATTCTGGAGGTGTCATATTAGTCTTTCTATTGTTGAATGTGTTTTTTTTCAGATTTTTAAATTAAATTTGAAACAAGATTGTTTTAAATGTCAATCCCATTTCCTTCTCCCTCCCCTCTTCCCCTACCATTCCCCCAATTAAAACCCTACCTATCACATATTCTTTCTGCTCCCCAGGGAGGATGAGGCCTTCCATAGGGGCCATCAGAGGCTGTCATATCCTTTGGGATACAGCCTAGGCTCACATGGTGTCTTGGCTCTGGGAGTATCCCTCTATGTAGAATGGGCTCCCAAAGTCCACACCTATGCTAGGGATAAGTACTGATCTAATACAGGAGGCCCCATAGATTTCTGAGGTCTCCTCACTGACGCCCACATTCCTGCAGTCTGGATCATGCTGGTTTCCCAGCTATCAGTCTGGAGACCAAGAGCTCTCCATTGTTCAGGTCAGCTGTTTCAGTGGGTTTCACCAGCCTGGTCTGGACCACTTTGCTCATCACCCATCCTTCTCTGCAACTGGATTCCAGTTCAGTTCAGTGATTATCTGTGGATGTCTGCATCTAGTTCCATCAGCTGCTGGATGAAGGCTATAGGATGGCATGTAGGTTAGTCATCAATCTCATTATCAGGGGAGGGCATTTAAGGTAGCCTCTCCTCTGTTGCTTAGATTGTTAGTTGGTGTCATCTTTGTAGATCTCCAGACATTTCCCTAGCACCTGATTTCTCTTTAACCCTAAAATGTCTTCCTCTCTTCTGGTATCTCCTTTCTTGTTTTCTTCTATTCTTCCCCTGACTCAACCTTTCTGCTCCCTCATGTCTTCCTCACCCTTCCTCTTCTCTCCTTTTCAATCTCCTAGCTCCC